GAAAATATTTGTGAGTTAAAGCAATCAAAGTATTAAATCTTGTATTCAATGAAAAGGCATCCTGGAATAGGAATTGAGTCCTTGAACATATGACCTGTTCAAATAGAAAATTTTGACAACTCTGTGTACTGCCATTCCAGAATTCACACAAAAACGAAAAAGTCACATTTTTACGATCTGTAAACAATATTAATAAATAAATTGTTGAAAGATGTGGCCTTTGCAATCCAATAAAAAAGATATTATAGTATGTTTTCTGTTGGTTCTTAAGTATATAAATTGTTAATTATTTTTTATAAAAGCAAAAAGTCAGTGAATCTTTGAATTTCTTGCTAGAAATACGATTTGCGGCAGCGACTTTGTCATTGATGTTACTTGTTATTTATTGTTTTAAAGATTTTATTCAAGTAAAGCTTATTATTCAAGTTACTTTGAATGGTTAGTTGTTTGTATAGCACTATTACAATACGAAAACTTATGGCCTTCGAAAAGTTGGATTAATTAACTAGACACAAAAATTTTTTTTTTCAATATTATTATTATTGAATTTTTGGTTCGGTATTCATATAAAATTTTTTTTTGGCTGCTTATCGTTTAAAATAGAAATCAGTACGTACTAGTAAAGAATAAATTAAAAGAAAGAGATTTGATCCTTGACTAACGTTATACACTTATACTAATAATACTTCATTTTTACGATTAATTTTTGCGAACTGCAATAATCAAACCATCAAGTACTAGAGGTAGGTTGTACCAACGAATAATATTTATTGAATATTTGACTATTTTTTCATTAATTAATTGAGCGAATATAATAAATATTCAGTGAATAACTGATAATCGATCATCTGTTCATTTCTAATTAAATTAAATATTTCACTTTCCATTTCATTTAATACGGAAGAAGAGCCTTCAGTCACCTATGACGGGAGAAATTAATAATATAACAATGAGTCTTCTTCTGCTTATATTTCGAAAAAAAGAAAGTGGATAGTGGTTCTAAGAAGCCATATTGGATCTCAAAAAACTTGCCAAGAAACTACATAGAAAAGACCATCTAAACAATAAAAATGTCAGTATTAATTTACCACGTCGTTTTGGCATTAACAGCAATAATAGCGAGTTAAATGACAACAAAGATGATGAAAGGAAATAAATTGTCCAAAAAGATAGGTATAGTCAAATAACATAAAAAACTTAACATCTAGTCAAATTAAGAACAAAAGAAAAGGTCTTTTGAAGGAATTCATTTTTGAAATTTTTATTGATTTTATTTTTTAATTTATTATTATTTTATTATTGGATTTTAGAAATGGCCACAAAAAAACAATAAGGCTCATAACGATGAATAAACAACAGAATCATATATTCACTCAAGTTCTTTAAATGACAAATATTTTAATACTCAAAATGTACTGTATAAATTAAGGGTAGAGTATGTATGTAACTCTATGATACAGTGACATCGAAAATAGACGGGAGGGAGTTACATGATTTAATTTCTCCATTCATGTTATAACTAATATATTATATCAAAATTTAAAGTGGCATTAATTTTATCTTTTATGTTAGCCGTTAGTAAAATACATGTACAGTCAAACCTCGCCACGGCAGACCTTGCCATGGCGGATTTTTTGTTTACAATGGATTTAAATATAGTCCCCTTTTTTATTAATTATAATTGAAAACAGAATTTTATTAATAAATTATGTCATAGCGATAACGAATTTTTGACCACACGACTACTAATAGACAAGAATCTAACCCTACACATAAAGGTAAATATTTTATAAGAAAGTCTCCTACCTAGTTAGCTGGCTAATAATCTGCACAAATAATTTCTAAATTTGGTAATAGATTTCTGCATTACCTTCTTGTTATAGAAATAAAATTGCCAATTTAGGTAGTAAATGGCTTAGCTGGCTAAAGATTTTTAAACATCCAATAAAAATCGGTTTTCCTAAAAAGGATATTCAACAAGATTTTGAAAAAATCTAGTATTATCCCAAGTAAAACTATCAATTGACGATTGGATTTTTAATTTAGTTGTGCAAAGGCCTGAGGTAAGCCAGTTTAAAATTTTCGGTTAATTAAAAGGCATTTTGAAACATTAATAATAATTAACAAAGGTTCAGAAGTTGTCTCATGTATCACGAATTAAATTATAACAGTGTGAGCGCATCTAGTCTGAGCCGAAGAACATCTGCAGTAATATTGTGACATCACTAATCATAAGTCTTTAATTGTCCATAACTTTATTGATTATCTTGTGAAATGTTGAAATTAAATTTTTGCAAGAATTCTATAGTGCAAGCACCGAACTTTTGAAAAATTTAAACTTAGAAGTTTAAATTGATGTTTTCAATTTTTTGATGGTAGTGTTGATGATGATAAATTTATGTGTGTAATATAATAGACGAAAATCATTGTTAATTTTCTTTTAAATTGGACCCGAGTTGATTTAAGGGCGGTCAGCTGCTTCTCTACTTCAGAATCATAGTGCTGCGGCTGCATTAGCATTTTTAAAAATTTAAATAATAGCAAATTGTTATTTAAATATATTAGTTTTTTGCCTAATCTTCTTTTTCACATGCTTATTCTCCAAAACTACAGCTATCATTTTCAGACAAATATAAATTGTGATTGAATTCATGAGATAAGTATCAAAACAAGTTTGTGTGCAGGATAAGATGTACGATGGACGATTTTAGTTCCAAAAGGGAAAGCATCAGTCATAAAACTAGTTTATTTATGTCATGTGGCCTGCCACACTTGAATACAAAAAAATTATTTGGCAAAACTTTTAAGGCCATTAAATATATATTTTCATTATTGTGATAGTAGCATTTGATTTAAATGGAATGGATTCAACAATTTTGGAAAAGTATTTCAATGAAAATGAAAGATTATTAAACACAGAAGATTTTTATGATGTAAAGATATATCTTGGTGCAGAACCAAACACTAAAGAAGTTCATGCACATGCATCCATCTTATCTGCCCATTGTTCATTCTTTGGAAATGCATTAAATGATGCAACAAAAGAAAATGGTTATTATATTGTTAAAGAAGCTAATATCAGTGAAAAATGTTTCAAGCCTATTCTCAAGTAAGTTTAAATAAATTTATTATTTATTTTAATTATTATTGTATTGTATATGTAATGATAATCTGTTTAATAATTTATTTATTGCTGAAAGATTTTTATACACATGTAAAATTGAATTTGAAGATTATTCTGGAGCTGAAGTATTAGAACTAATAATTGTTGCAGAAAAACTTGGTATTGAGACACTTTATGAATATATGATGAAATATTTTACCAAAAATCATGAAGATTATATTAAAAAAAACCCAGTTAAAACCTTACAATTGATTTATGCCAATGAAAAATTTAATGAATTGAAGAATATCTGCTTGGAAAAGTTTTGCAATTATAGTGAAAAATTTTTTGAATCAAGTGAATTTGAATTGTTGGAAAAACCAATTCTATTGGAAATTCTCAAAAGGGATGATTTTTCCATTAATGAGATGATTATTTGGGAAAATGTTCTTAAATGGGGATTGGCAAAACATCCAGAAATCAATAATATAAATGTTGAAGATTGGTCATTACAAAATTTTGCTGATTTAGGCAACACATTAAAAGATTTTCTTTCTTTAATAAGATTTCAGGATATTTCAAAAGAGGATTTTTTTGATAAAATTGAACCATATCAAATGCTTTTTCCTAAGACTTTATGGAAACCCCTTTTACAACTTTATTTGATTCCTGATAGACTACAAACATTAAATTTATTACCATCAAGGAATCCAAATTCAACACTTGAATCATTGACAATCAATCAAAATCTTACTTTGCTTTTTGCTAGTTGGATTGATAGCAAAAACCCACAATATAGTTCATTCAGGGAAGTTAAATACAAATTTAAACTTATATATCGTAGCAGTAGAGATGGTTTAAGTATAGCTGCTTTTCATCAAAAATGTGATAATATCAACAAAACTCTTGTAGTTGGCAAAATACAAAATTCAGATCAATTAGTAGGAGGATATAACCCACTTGATTGGAATTTAAATAATGGAGTTGACATATATAAAAATACAACTGAAAGTTTTATTTTTAATATTGGTAATAGAAATGATATTAATTCTGCGCGGTTTAGTTATGTAATTAATAATCAAGATAAAGCAATTTATTGTCATTCTGGAAATTTAGCTATTTTTGGTAGTGGTTGTGATCTTATTTTCAGGCCAGGAGGTGATATCAATAGTTATTATATTTATAATCCAACTTCTTATAATAACATCAATATAGTAGACGGTAGTAGATATGATGAATTAGAAGTGTTTCAAATAATTGATAAAAAATAAAATTACATATTTGTTTTATTATTTTAGCTAATATGGATAAGTTTTTAATTATTATATTTAAAGACTATATATTTATTTATGATATTTTTTTTATTTATGTTGTGCGTGTGAAGATGAAATATATGTGAATTTGCAATATGTGAAATTCAAATTTGCCAATCATAATATCCAAACACCCACCTCAAAATTTTAATTATAAATTTCAATTTCACACATTTATTTTCTGTGACGCTTCTATATATATATATATATAAATATAAAGGAAAATTTGGCCTTGAGGGTCAGATTACTTTCGGTTTTATTAAAAGCTTGCCTTAAAATTTTTCTTGAAGGTACATATAAATTTCAACTTTGGTGGTTGCTACACAACAAGGTAATAGACGCAAGGCAAGCTCACTATTAATACTTATAATATCAAAATCTGGATAGATATATGCATATCATGGGCGATGAAGATATTATTATCATAAATAGAAGACATAAGATACAAAAGCGGTATTTAATTGTGTAGCGAATAATCTCGATTCAAATATTCTAAAATATAGGTGGAAATTATCTGGTGTAATCCGTGCGTAGCATTAGCTTTTTTTCAAATGTATGAATTCATCGGATTTATGAAATTTTTGTTAATCTTCCATAAGATGTCTAGGTGAAGTCACAGTAGAACTTTTTTCAGCACACCTTTGTAATCTAGGAAAGAGCGCTTGAAATAAATTACAATAGTGATATTCTATAAAATAGAAAACGAGCATTAACAATCTTGTAGATAAAACAAAATTTTTAATGATTACTCGATGAAACGTGCCCGTAGTATCCACGAAACCAGACACATCATCACCACTTGTCTGCCATATTGGGATTTCAACCTCACGCATCTGACAATGTCTGTGTATGTCTGAATCTATATTTAAGCGCAGCATATTTCCTATAACATTTTAATGCGATGTTAATGATCATCAAACCAAAATTCAATTCTAAAGATATCACAAAGAGGAGGATGGAATCATACCAGAAACTTGTATTCCAATAATACCAAAACTCGTTTCAATCTGATTCACACCCCTTGCGAGACCAGGCTATCCAAACATTCATTTCTTGCCACAACTTCACGCGATAAATTTCCTTTTTTTTTACTCATCACAAAACAAACAGGAGCATTCAGAATACATTAGCTCATAAATTTTTCATCACGACTCACCATGAATATAATATCTGGACATTTTCCAGTATCTCCCTTTTGGTCTTTACTAGCTGTATTTTGATCTTCTGCACTGAATAATAAACACGTTAGCGAGTGATCATTTTTAATAAAGCTAAATACTATAATTTACGTGCTGACGAAGCCAAATTTTCCAACTGGGAGGTTTTTTAGTGTGGCCCGAATTATAGGAACTATTATATCAGTTACATAAGTCCCCTAATTCAATGTTTTAGCAAATTCAAATCTAAAAGCTGAGTTTTTTCCAGACTTCATCTCTATAATCATATGTTATAATTCCAGTGGTACGTCATCCGTGATATAAAATACTCACAGTATCCTCTTTGTAGTTTTACAAGTTCCTCATCAGACTCTTTTCCAGCTATTGTCGTGTGATAATTTATTGAGCAATTCCTCAACTGAATCGTCACTGAAATTTGCAACAAAGTCCCAACACGCCCCTTTAGGTATGTCTGGAAGAGTCGCTGACATTTGCTCTAATAAAATATTATAGATTAGCATACCATTCAAATGGATCGTCAGAAATAACATTTCAATCTTCTCACCATAAACTGATCACTCGACTAGCGAATAGATCTCTCTCTATAATAAATTTGAAGCTTTAATAATCCCTTCTATATTGATGCGCAATTCCTGTGCAAGGGGCGTTGTGCTTTTCTGGATGATAAAATGATTTAAACGCTCTCTTTCCATGTATTCCAAGATCTAAATAATAACAAAGAAAATGAACGTATTTGCGCGATTAACCAAATTCGATTAATTACCTCGTGTAAATTCATGCATTGAATGAAATTCTAATAATTATTTTTTTATTGCACAGCCTCATAATGTTGTACAACATCATGTTAAAAGGTATCTATCTTCCTTGCTCTTTTTCAGATTTCAGAAGCTGTTTTTTGTACCACTACAAATTGGGTCCTGTCCATTATGGACAGGTACTCTATATGGCATAGGGATGGCCCCGTATAACACAACAAAGGAATCGCGTGATTCAAATTCAGGTTTAAACCAGTTCCTGCTTACTAATTTATAAAAAATGACACTATCAATGAGATAATTGCTTCATATTCATATTTTTTCTACACAATAATGAATTACCGAGAAAAGGGCAATAAAGCATTTATTGATGGAGAATTCGAGACCGCACGACAAGAGTATACCAAAGGAATCGAAGTTGCACCTGAAGACCCACGATTATGGTCAAACCGTGCGCAAACCTTTATTAAACTAGGGTATCCTGAACTTGCGATGGTTGATGCCGTTAATGCCCGCTCTCTCATTGAACCAAAGATCACTAGTGGTAAATATAGTGATGCAGATCTGGCGTTGTTTTGTAAAAGTGGATGGAGAGAAGCGGGGGCATTGGCCAAGTGCGATGGATTTGTGTTAGCAGGAAGAGCGTTAGATAGGATATTTCAAATTGTTGTTAATAAACGACCAGTGGCAGGTGTTGATTGGAATACATGGGAACGTGAAAGGGATAACTATTATGAAAAACATTACCAACATGTGGTGGCTCTTAGTAAGGTAGGCTCGGATCGGCACGCGATGGTCGAACAAGCTGGAAAAATGTGCAAGTTTCCAAATCGTGGAGCTTACCCGTGGGACATTCGTAGTCGAGAGCGTTGCACCTCAGAGAGTCTCGCTTCTATCCAGAAACTTTTGGAAAAGATCTCCGGAAAGAGCATCAAAGTGTCATTAGTTAGCTTTCCTAATGCTTCTCAAGCACACGAATTCGGCATAGTAGCAACAAAGGATATAAAAAAAGGAACTATCTTGCTTGAAGAAAAACCGCTTATTTCAGTTCACGCTCCTGGTCAACAGCGATGTGATTTTTGCAACAAACAAGCCGGTTCGAAAAGGTTCTTATGTCCGAAAGCAAATTGTTCCGAAATCTTTTGTAATAATGATTGTTTCGACAATGCTTGGGAATTATACCATCGTGCTATCTGTGGAAAAAATCTTGATTTGCTGTATGAAATAGTGAAAAAAGAATCACCATTCTCTGGTTCTTCTCTCCTAATTGTTCTCAAAATCTTTGCCATTGCCAAACAACGAGATATTTGTCCCTTAGATATTGAAGAGATGAAGCATCTTTTCCCCTTCCAACATTCGACTGCATGGTTCCAGCACGGTCCTATGGCCATCGATTTCTACTTTGAATTAATGAAATTATTGGAAATTCACACTTTCGACTTACGATACGAACCATGGATCTATCTAACAATTTATAGAAAGACTAAACCCAATTCTTCTTTTTTTAATCCTTTGACATCAACTGGACAATTTTACCCAATAATATCTCTTTTCAATCATCATTGTGATCCAAATGCCGGAATTTCTGACGATGTAACTAAATCAATTAAAGGTGGAAAACCATTTTCGTTGGGTGTGACTTTGTCAACACGAGCTCAAGCAACTCGTAATATAAAAAATGGAGATCAAATATTTATTAATTACACGTTAGGGCATGACCTTAGTATCTTGTCAAAAGTCGGTAACACTGTAAGAGCATCCGGCAGTACTAAACATACTCGTCAACTTCTCGAGACTAGTTATGGGTTCCATTGCAGGTGTTCTGTATGCGACTCTTTATCTAATTGAAATCGATATTTACGTTACAATAGTATTATTTTAATCTTGTTTATTATTTTATATGTATATTTTTGCATTTTTATCCATTAAAGATATGGTATATGAATTTTAATTATAATAATGCTCGGTCAACTATACCAGTTAGAAATTCATGCATGATTTATTTATGTGACGATCTAATTGTTGCTATAAAACCTAATTCAATTAACCAACTCGTGGTGCCTATTGATTACACCCACTTGGCCTACCGATATCTGGAAACGAATGGAATGAGTGGACAGCAGCGTGCTTGGTCTGATTTCTCACATGGTGCATACCAAAGTCAAATGCAACAGTATGTGTTCACCTACCTGATCCACTTTAGAAATCGATTTTATGGAGCATTTTACTATTACGTGTTACAGATATAGCATGCTTATGTGATAAAGCAATTTTATTAGTTGAGAGATTGTATGTCATAATAAGTATAAGTTACTAGACATCTGAATTTGAATTAAGAAGGTGCTTTTTTTCATAATTTTTATGAAGTGTCTAATATCTTAAGTCGTACAAGTGACACCAGTTGCTAAAACATATCCTCCGGGATATTTGCCAGCATCTCGTATATGTTATCTAGGAATGTGATTAAAATAAGTCCTAAGAAAAAATTCACCCTAGTAAAATTTAGGACAAACCCAAACTATGGTTCTACAAGCTATGTGATTTATGGGCAGCAAACAGGTATGTACCATAACTCCATTATTTCAATCTGGCAATTCTAACGGCAAGCATAGAAAAAACTCTGATGCAATTTCAATAAAATCTAAAGCCCCATTCCTACAGTAAACTTTCAATCACAATGTAACACTCGAATATTGGAGGTCAGTTTAATCTTTTTTTTGGATACCTGTAAATTTCTGAAAACCAAAAATTAAATATTAAATAAAGTGATTAAATAAATATTAACACCACCATTTGTTTTTGAAGTGTTTCAAAGGTAAAGTAACATGGCCAGGAGAATCTCCTTCCTCTTTTTCGTAGGGTTTTGACAGTATGTTTTTGTAATTTAATGGACTTAAACAACAACAATGTAATGAAGAATTTTTAATAAAAAAAGCCTTAAGGCTTTGAAGTTAGTCAACATTTCAAATTTACCAATATATTCAACATAATTTCAGTTGCCATCAATTTACATTTGCTATTTTTGCTGACAAAAAGACGTCTTCCATCTCTCTCCTAAAAGAATTGATCATAATAAAGAAAATTATTTTTTATATTGGTAAAAAAATTTATTACAGTGTGTAACAAAAAAAACCGGAAATCTTTTATTTATTTGTTTTCAATAATGGTTGAATGAAAATAGATAAAAA